GGAAGACTGGAGTGGGTGGGTTGGTGAAGGAGCACCCTCATAGAGGCAAGGGGAGGGGGATGGGATAGGGAGTTTCTGAAGGGGAGATCTGAATAGGGGAAAACAATTGAAATGTAAATAAAGAAAATATCCATAAAAGAACACCCCCCCCCCCCAAAAAAAACCATAGGTCACTATTCCCAACCTAGGGCAGCTAAAGATGATTATCAACAAGTTGTAATGAAGCTGTCACCAAAACTACTCAACTCTCATGACTTAATAGTAAAATGTGTGTCTGTAAATTTAAAAATAAAACATAATGAGTTATTAACAAAAAAGAGGTGATTATAGCCTATAGCATGTACTCACTGTATGTGAAACAAGTTCTAAATAATTAAGCCATGAGAAATCATATAATTCCTAAAGATTGGGAAGATTTAATAACAGCTATCTTAGAAGCTGGCCCTCAACTACAGTGGCTGACATGCTGGACAGAGGAGGCGTTGGCTGTGGAGCCACATAATAAGACTGGAAGAGTTAAGATTGTCAAGGATCAGGTGCTAGGTAAAAATGAATATGCTGAGTTACAAGTGCAGACTCTGTTTGATGATGACATCTTAGAGCATGTCATAGAGTAGGTTTAAATGCTTGGGAGAAGGATGAACTACAATGAAGACAATCTGAATCACTTACCAAGATAACTTTAACTGTAAATAGAGCAGTTCGAGATGCAAGAGAAGCATTGACTCTTTAGCTTTTAAGAACACCAATGCTGAGTGGGAAAAGGCTATTAGACCTTTAAAGGCCAGATCCACACCCATTTATGAATGCATTAACACTACTGCGGATATTGGATCTAATGAGATCAATGCTGCTATGATGGAACATGCAATTACCAAAAATATGAGAGCTCAGAATGTCCAATGCATTGGCTATGGAAGACCAGGTTATTTCTTAATGGAGTATAGACAAACAATCCTTACGATAATGTTTTCTCTGAATGTAACCCAGGGAGAATACTTCCTGAGATACATAAAGATGTGGAAAGTGCAGACACAGGGCTTAGATCATGCAGGGATATACAAGGCAATCCCTTACAACCAGGAATTACTGCCCAAGAGGCTTTGCTCAGGCCCCACCAAAAAGCAACATGAGCCATTTGTTCAAAGTCAGTAAAAGAGATTCTGTTCTAGGGAGCAGCTAGAAAAATTAGTACCTGATATGGCAGACAGTGTATTTTACATTTAAGTACTCTAATAAAGAAAATAAGGTATTTTAAAGGTATAAGAAGCACATATTAAGCCGGTGTTGGCGCACGCCTTTAATTCTAGCACTTGGGAGGCAGAGGCAGGCAGATTTCTGAGTTCGAGCCCAGCCTGGTCTACAGAGTGAGTTCCAGGACAGCCAGGGCTACACAGAGAAACCCTGTCTTGAAAAACAAAAAACAAAAAAAAGGAAGCACATATTTTGGCAAGATGCTATAAATAATTAGAGACCAAAGTTGAAATTACAATTAGATGGAATTCAATGTCAATTGAAGGTCTAGTGGATACTGTAGCAGATGTAACAATAATCACAAGATTCTTCAAATTGAGCTTGGCCACTTCAAAAGATATCTGCAAAAGTATCTCCTGAGACAATGTCTTAGGTGAAACTGAGTCTAAAACAAGTTAAATGAATAGAACCAGAAGTTCAGATAAGAAGATTAAGGTCCTATGTGGCAGACATGTGTGCTGTGGAGAGATATGGACAGTTAAGAGCATTGACTGCTCTTCCAGAGGTCCTGAATTGAATTCCTGGCAACCATATGGTAGCTCACAACCATCTGTAATGGGATCCAATGCCTTCTTCTTGTGTGTCTGAAGACAGTTACAATGTACTCATACAAATAAAATCAATAAGTATTAAAAGAAAAAAGCTACAGGTAGAAGATCTTGCCACAAGGAATGTTAAACAGCCCCACTTTGCATCATTACTTTGTACAACAGCCATTACAAATAATTACTAAACAGTTTCCTCAATCTATAATTTATCACTATATGGATGATATCTTGATAGGTGATTCTATTACTGATACCTTAGGGGGAAAAATGTTTGTTGAAGTAAAGACGATTTTGCATTTGTGGGTATTAAAAAATGTTCCTGACAAAATAAACAGAGGAGATTCTATTAACTATCTAGTATATAAGATAGGCCTTCATAAAACCCAGCCACAGAAAGTACAGATCAGAGCCATGAATTATAAACTCTTAATGATTTTCAAAAATTACTTCTAGGTATTACTTGCCTACAACCCATAATTGGATTGACTACTCAAGAATTAAGTATTTTATTTCAGACCTTATAAGGTAATTCAACCTTAAAGAGTGTGATAACCATTTAAATGATATAATATCTATAGCCATAAAGACAGTGCAGGTGCAAACTGAATTAAAAACATGCTAGTTCAGCAAGATAATACAGTCCACTCAAGTTCCTGCTTCAAAAAAAAAAAGTCTGTCAGATCTTCTAGGCCTGGTGGCTCAAGATGGATGCCACACCAACATAGAGGAGCTGTAGGTTGCTGTTCAGGTAGCCAGTAAGTCTCTGACATTTTTACATATATGGAAGCTGCTTGCTCTGCACTTCCTGTTTACTCATGTAAGATTTATACTTCTCAGGTCTTTGACTGGATTGAAGACTAGATATTGATAGCTTTTCAGTTTTGCTTTTGACATGATTCAAAAAAGATAAACTCCTAAATGAGGCATACAGTTCATAAAGATTAAAAGACATAAAAGCACAGGTTGTAAGGGATCTAAGGAAGTGTTTTAGGGTCTAAGATGTTGTTTTAAGGTTGGTAAATACAAGCCATAAAGGTTAGAGGTTGTAATGCTTAAATGGTGATTAAGAAATGATTTAAGATATATAAAAGGAATGAAATATTTCAGATACATACTGAAATATTTTCTCCAAAGTTGCCAAATAAAAGTGGATTAAACATTGTGCAAATAATCTGAACCCTGATAGTTTTCATAGTTGTTCTTATTATATATAATTTACTGTTTTTATAGACAAAGCTATTTCTTGGACTAAAATGGAGAAAGATTATGATCACCCACAGATACCATATTTACCAGCTATGAGAGAGTGCTTTCAATTGTTAATTGAACCAATGCCTGGCTAGCAGGATATTTAAATGTTTGCCACCTTGTCTCTTGCTCCAAAAAGAAAGGCAAGCTGCTTTGGGGAAGGTCACATAGCCCCCTAAAGCCAACTGGTAGTGTAAAGAGTATCACTTTTTGTAGAATAGAGGACTGATGTCTTGGAGATGGGACAGGAGAATGGACAAAATGTCTGGGCAGGAGAGATGCAGACAGATGTAGAGAGTACTAGAGAGACACAGAAGGAAGATAGAGGCAACAGGACAGAGGTGGTATGCAAGCAGTGAGAACCACATGGATCTACACAATGATGGAGAAGTTGAGTTAGGCTAGCTGAGAGACTGTCCAGCCAAAGGCCATCAGTCTTAAACTATACAGATTTCTCCATGTCTTTATAAAATCTCAAGTAGGATCTCATGATAGATACTACTACAATAATCAGTGTATATAGTTATAATTTTCAAATATAGCAAGATTTAAAAAATATGGGCCAAGCAAAGTTATACATGTCTGTAATCTTGTGCTCAGGGAACTGAGGCAGGAGGATCAGAATCAGTTAGAGGACAACTGGGGCTACATACTGAATTGAAGATCAATCTGGGCTACACATAGCAGCTGCCTGTCTCAAACAAACATACAAACAATGAACCAAATATATTATACAAATATATTAATTACATTTATATTTATAAAATATGACACAAAAGTCCCCTACTAAGTGTAAGAAGGTATAAAATGATGTCATATTAATGAATATTTAAAATTGTTTATAGAAAAAAGACAATTACAAATGGTCAGAGAAATTATTCCACATGTGTGTATCCATAGATACATATATATGTAGAGTCTAGAATAGGCAAATGCTGACGGAAGGAAGTCGTGGCTGCTCAGCAGTGAGGGGTGAGGGGAGAGGGAGGAAGGTAGAGGACTAGAGGACAGACAGCTCTTCCTTGTGTGTGGAAAGGAAAATATTGTGAAATGACATGGTGAGGTTTGCACACACTTGTGAATATACTAAAAGTCCCTGAAGAAAACACTTGAAATATCTGTACTACATGGTATTTATGGCATGTAAGTTATCCAATAAAAGTATTTAATGGGTCAAATGGGGAACTCAGTGGGTAAGGGCATTTGTCACCAAGCCTAATTACCTCAGTTTGGGCCTTGGATCCATATGATGGAAAGAGAACCAATTTCCTCAAGATATTTCCTTGACCACAAGTGGGCTGTGGGACATGCTTACACGCACGTGTGCATGCACACGCACGCACATGCACACACACACACAAATAAATAAAATGAGTACTTTAAAAGAAGACAGAAATTACATGGAATACATGCCTCTGGACTGGATCTGTATAATAAATGTCATTATTGCAACAACATGAGAAGCTTGAGTGGTACCTGAGGAGAAGATGTCACTGTGTCATCAGTGTTCATTTCTTAATTGGATTTTGGTTTTGTATGAGGATAGCCTTGTTGGAAGTACACATTGCTATTTGCCCTAGTGAGCTCCAGAAAGCATTTGTTTATGATGGGAAATCACTGCAACTGACTTTGAAGTTCAAGGGAAGTATGGGGGAGGGGGAGGTCAGCTTTTGTTTGTTTGTTTTTTAATAAGTTATGATAAGTTAATAAGTTTCAAAACATGACTTGTAAAACATCATATTCAGTTTTGAAATAAGAAAACAGAGAAGACGTGTTTGGTTTCAGGCAAATGAAGGCATCAAGGAGTGTGCTTCCCTGACAGCCACCAATGCACCTGCAGTGAGGATGGGGTGATTAGATCCCTTACACAATTGCAACTGAGCCATAGGTTTTATAAGTTTCCCAGTTGGAATTGTTCATTGTGGAGTTTCTACTCTTGAACCATGAACACTGCTCTGTATGACAGCATGTATATTAAAAGTTGGAATGACACAGAGATTACCATGGCCCCTGCCCAAGAGTGACACACAGATTCACGAAACATTCCATATTTAAAAATAATTGTCTGGGAAGTAAAAGTCAACACAATTCTGAGCAATGAGGGAGGAAAACAGTTATTTCAAGAATGTTTCTTTATTGATGGCTGCATATGTTTACAATGAGAGGAATCAGGTCACTTTAGAATTTGCTGCTTAGATGTAGGTCAGCTCATCATCCTTGGTTTTGTTAGTCTGGTAACCCTGAAGTTCCAAATCATCTTTTCCAGAAAGGCCACTGAAGACTTTTATGTGAAGGAAACAACCATGCCCTACATCCACCTGAAAGACATAAAAGAAGAAAAGAAGAAAGAAAGAAGATAGATAGAAAGAATAGCAAATTATTCACATGAATCTTTATGGTATTACAGATCTTCTTTTTTGTTAAAGACTTGATGTGTCAAGCTCTCCTGAAACAACACTTCTGGCCCAAGACATCACCCATGACCCTCAAGTTACGAGAAAGAACAGCTGACAATATGGCAGAAAACATATTTCTTAGATATATTTTTAATACCTTTTAGAAAAAATTTTATTCAAATTATTTGTATTTCAGCACATCATGTGAAGTGCAATTCCTGAAGATGTCAGAAGAGGGTGTTGAACCCCCTCAAACTGGAGTCAGAAATGGTTGTGAGCTGCCATGTGGGTGCTGAGGTCCAAACCCAGGTCCTTTGCAAGAACAGCCAGAACTCCTACCTACTAACCCATTTCTCTATCTGGATTTCATGTATTGTGCTTTTCATTAAAATCTTGGTACAGGTTACATTTCAGAGTTACACTTTATTTTCATGATGCCTGGAGAGGAGCAGAGGGAAGCCTGTGGTTTTGGTGATTCTGTTTTCTGACTTCTAAGTTGAGATAAAAATTGTCATATAGTTTGATAAGGGAAAAGAAACTCAGATTTGCTTTAGAAAATATGGACTGTATGGTTCCCATATCTCTGTGTTACAACCTACTCTGTGAATGCCAACCAGGCTGCCTACTTTGTGAAATAAAAATAAAGCAGCTTAGGAACCATGGGGATAACACACCCAATGGTATTTTTCAGCCTGAACATGGATGGGACCTAGACCATCAGGATAAGAATTGCCGCTTTGTTCTTTATCGGAACAATGAAAGTTTTATGTTCTATAGAAGACATTGTGCCCTGGTACCACTTCCTACCTTAAGCTTCAAATGCTACTAACCAAAGTATACCATTATATATAATAGTATATAATGGCACTATGATGGGCATCATACAAAGTGTGTATATGTGCATGCACGTATATGTGCTTGTGTGTGTGTGACTGTGATCACACTGACTTCTTAGTGTAGGTCTGGATTCACAAGGTAAAACAAGGTAACCATCCTACCATCCAATGGATCGGGGGTCTTCCACTCAAGTGTCTTACTTAAAGACTAGAGGTAGAAATGAAGTTAGAGATGGGGCAACAGGAAACAATCACAACAGTGCTTGAGGGAGGTCTGAGTCTAACCTTAATGAACAAATTTTGTCCAGCGACGACTTGAGATTTATACTCAACAGCTTTGAATTTTTCATATTTCTCATTGGTTTTCTCTTCAAGCAGTGGTCTGACCTTAGGAGGAGAAAGTAATGATATTAGGGCTGTGTTGACTCAGTTTACCTGAGTCACGAATCTTCTGAGAGTCCTCAGAGATGCTGATGAACCTGAGCTGGCAGCTCAAACCGATAGCCTCTAATCTCAGAACTTGGAAGACCGATACAGGAGAATGTCATTCGAGAGCAGCTTGGGTTATATAGCAAGTTCCAGGCTATTGGGGCTACCAATTGAATTTTGCCTCAAAAATCAAAACACACAGACACACCACACACACACACACACACACACACACACACACACACACACAGAGAGAGAGAGAGAGAGAGAGAGAGAGAGAGAGAGAGAGAGAGAGAGAGACATATACAGTGCACACACATACACAGGCACATATATGCAAACACACATACACACACAGATACACACAGAGAGACACAAACACTCACAAACACAAACACACAGACAGAAACACACACACACACACAAAAATAGGAAAACAAAGCAATAAACAATATAGTCATGATTTGCAATGAAGGGTCCAAATAGGTACATCTATGTTTGATCAGTAAATACAAAGTAAACAGCACACAATGGAGATTTTCTCTGCCCCCCTCAGTTCATTCTAGGGATATAATAACCCCCTATGGCCTGACAGTGTGTGGAGACCCAATAGACCAGAATCTTAGAGGACTAGACTGAATTTCCTGACTTAACAAGGGCTTTCTGGAGTATTTGCACCATGGTGTTCTTTGAAGGGGAATGATTGCTGTACCTGAGAAAATGTTTCCTAAAAATACACAGTTTACTGCCTGCCTCTCTGCCTCTCAACACCTTATTGGGAGTTGTCCCCTCAGGCTGTCTCCTGCAAGACAGGACAGATGAGTGACATCTGGGAGCCGAGCCACCACCCTGTACCTGTTCACCTGACAGTGAAGCGGTTGGCAGCAGCACCTAATGTTCTTTTTGGTCTTAAACCTGTGATCATGAAGGAGTGCTTAAGTAAGTTTTAGTTTATTATTTTCCCTAGATATCATGATTTCCTCTGCACTGTTAAATCTGAGGGAGAAGAGTCCATTTGTACTTTATGTAGCTTCAACAGTTTGTAGCCAAATGCTGAACATCTAAGAGTGACTCAGGAAATGTCCCTATGTAATGGTTCTTGGCTATGCATCTCCCATGGTTGATTTAAGCCTGAGTCCCTGGTTTCCACAGAGAAGACAAGTTTGCTCCATTCCCTCCCCTCATTTCTGCAGAGCTCCCCAGGGTGCTGAGGCTGCGCAGAGGGAAAGGACAGATTAGCTTCTTATTTGGACAACTCTTAAGCCTTTTGAGTCTTGGTTTCATCCTCTAAAAATAGGATGGAACGCATCCTTGCCTGCCTGCGGACTTTGAAGATCAACTGAGAAATGGGACTGAAATCAAAGATTTTAAAACAGAAAAGCTCCTTCCCAGGGTGTGGTGGTTTGTTAATATCTCTGTTTCACTCTGCTTCTCTTGAGCTGCAAGAACGCATTTCTAAATTTATTTAATTATTGAAGATGTGTTCCACAGATAGTGTCATTATCACGATAAGCCCTTCCAGTAACCTCCTAACTTAAAAATTATATGATCAGAGTATATTTTATGTATGTATGAAATCCTCAAAGAACTAATGAGAATATCATGTTCAAAAATTACCCTAGCCAGGTAGGATGACACACTCCTGTAGTCCAAGGTACTTGGAAGGCTGGAGGCAAGAGGATTACTTCAACCTGTGAGGTTTTTACTATTTGGAAAAAATAGCAAGACCCCTGTTTCAAAAGAACAGTTGTTCTAGATAACCAGATGATCAAGTTTACAAAACCATGAAAATCTGCAGTAATTTTATTTCAAATAACTCCATTTCTCTGTCTACCCTCCCACACTGCTGGTTCTTGGGACATCTCAGGCGGCTTTTTATTTCAGTTAACATAAATACCAACTATGATTCATCTGTGTATATTTGTTTTTGAAATGATTTTTAAGTGGTAGTTATTTTAGTCCTTTGAGATGGAGGATCTTTCTGTGGCATCTTATTTTAAGACCCCATCTCCCCCATGCCTTCTAGGATGCCGGATATACTAGGTCCTACAGGAAAGTGAAGTCATGAGTGGGTAGGAGTGCCCACTCCCCCAGAGACCTTGGAAGAAATGTGGACACACAGGCCAGTTTAGCCCTCTTCAGTCAGATCTGCATTCTGTCTAGAGCAACAGGTGACTCTTGTGCACAGTGAAGGTTGAGAACACCAACTTGATGTGAGGATTCTAAAGAAGATTTAAAGATTCAATATTCCTCAAAAATAAAATGTTCCAAGATAGTTCTTGAAATAAACCCATGAGTGAGAACTATTTAGCTTTACATATTTAGTCACAGAGTTTTAGGCCTGTGACACCATCAAGAATGTTCAGTGCTCTAGGCATGACGCCTCCCATCTTTTCTACTCACATAAAATCTAGCATGGTGGTACATGCCTATAATCCCAGCACTTGAGAAGTTGAGGCAGAAGTTGAGAGCCTTGAGTTTGAGGCTAGCCTAAGTTATCTGCATGTTAGACCATCTAGCAAGACCAACTCTCAAACAAACACACAAACAAAGAAGCAAATAACGAACCAAACTGATCCTGTCCTCCAGGATGATTCGGCTTCAGGCAGGAAAACAATGTGATGAAGGAAATAAAGTGACAGATTGCAAACCTACCTCCATAATTCTCCTTTGTAAAACAGGCAACACGATACATCTTTTAAAATAGATGCTAGTTAAGCAACATGTATTAACTTGCTAGAAACATTGAGTTCTATTTTGACTGACGGTTTGGTGAGCACAGCATCCTGGAATCAGCTCAGAGAATCTTAACAACCTTAGGTACCTTCACACATCAGCTTCCCTCAGTGGGACTGGAAAATTCCATCAGTAATTAGAGCTCCTGGGATCAGACATGTGAGGTGTAGAGAGGATCCAGCATGAATTCACCTTCAGCTACTGGGGAAACTGAGGCTGCAGGAAAGAGTGTGGCTTGGCCGATTTTACTCTTGGGGTGTTGACATTTCTCTGAAAGCCTTAATGTATAAAATCTGTATAATATATAAAATCTTCTAGTGGTATAAAATCTGAACTAAGTCCATATGCTTCTGATTTCTGTGATTTCCCATGCTTGTAATGCCCTGCCAAATTATGAATCAAATTGTGAAAGTTTGTTTTTGAATCAAGTTCTTTCTGAAATGCATTGACTCACCTTGTCAGCAACCTCCTGAATTTCTGGTGTGGCAGGTCTGGCCTCTGACAAGCCTCCTTTTATTTTTAAGGTGTCTGGATTCATGGCTAGGCAGGGTACGGAGAAGAAGTGATCCAGAAAACACTAAGAGTCAGGGTTTTAAAGGTATCCACAAACTCCTCCTCTAATGTATTATCTCCACAGTATCTGAGGGAATGGGGAAATGAGTGTGACCTCAGGCAAGTCTTACTTCATCCCTGAGAGGAAATGCTGAGTGGAGTTGGGGGAAGTGAGGACTGTGTGCTCAGGACTCAGGTGTGGTAAGCATGGTTCCTCCCTGCAATCTCTGTGCTAAAAATGTCATCCTGTTGTATCATTTAAGGAAGGACATGTATAACCAGAGTTTCTAAACATGTTAAATTTTGAAGAGTTCTTTAAAAAGGATACTTAATGTCAAGGCTGGTTGCTTAGTATCCATCCAACTTTATAAAGATAATAAAGCTGTGTATGATGGATCTTTACTTGCAATTTCTAAAATGTTTATCCCCAAACATGAAGAATAAAATCGCAAACACCTTTATGTCTTCTACTGCTGTTGCTTCTCTGTCTCTCTCTGTCTCTCTGTCTGTCTGTCTCTCTCTCTCTCTCTCTCTCTCTCTCTCTCTCTCTCTCTCCATGATTTCTCTGTGTAATAGCCACTGGCTGTCTTGAAACTCAACAGGCTGGCCTTGAACTCACCGTATCTGCCTGCTTCTGCTTCCTAAGTGCTGGGATATGAGACATGTACCACTATGTCCAGTGATTCCATTTTTTTGGAAGGGATTTCATGTAGCCCAGGCTGTCCTGGAACTCATTCTGTATCCAGGTTGTCCTAGAACTCACTATGAACCTTGAACTTCTGACTCTTCTGCCTCCACCTGCAGAGTACTGGGATTACAGGCATGGCCTTGATTGTCTGATCCTTTTTGCCTCTGCTTCCCATGTGATGGGTTTACAGTCAGTAGGTAACTTATCAGGTAATATCCCAACCGTGTAAAAGGTAAAGCTCTCATTAGAACTGCTGGGTGTCAAGAGGGAAGTGTAGGGATAACAGGGAATAGGGCACAGTAAAGGGACAGAGGCTTGCTGGTCACCCATTCCTGCCCACTGGGGTGATTCCACCAGAGAGAAAGACTTGTTTGATTCTTAGTGACAGAGACATAGATGTCTGTTATTTTATTATGTTTTCCTGTATTTGAGACAATTCTAGAAATCAAGATAAATGTGAAATACACACAACTAAAACCAGCCAAAATCCTTCTTACTAGGAGATTGAGATTCTGTCTTTTTTTAAAAAAAATAAACAAGCAAACAAACAAAAAACAACCCTGCTAAATCACCTTTCTTTAGATATACAGAACCTAGGGTGTCTAGCAATTTTTATATAACATCAGAATCTTAGGCTTCTTCTTTTAATCCTGTACATCAACTGACACAGTCTCACTTTGTCAGCTTTGTAGATTTCTGTGAGGTTTGGCTTACAGAAAAGAAATATGGCCTTCTAAAAAGAAGGAAAGGGTACTTGGCTTGAGAGTCCGCTGTTGAACACTTTTCAGTGAGGTACACAGGTTTGTATCCAAGGTCTTTCCAACCAAATCCTCTAGTTGACAGAATTATCAACTTCTTTATGATGGTAAACCAGAGTTCTAATAATTGAGTTCATTGAAGACAGAACTTTCCCATTATGTAGGGCACACAGGCTTTCCTTGAACTTCTCATGTAGCCCATCTTGCTCTTGAACTTGTGACTCTGTCTCTCAAATCCTCTTGAATCTGTCTCTCAGATTCTGAGATTCTATGCATATGTCTCTGTGTCCCTGCCAACTTTAAATGGCTTGTTCTTGTAACTTTTTTGCTCATGTTCAGACTCAGTAAATGACACATTGGGGATGTAGCTTAGTGTTAGAACTCTTCGTGAAGCTTTCTCAAGGCAGTAGATCAATCCCTTGTATGAGCAAGAAAAAATATTCTTTCCCAAAGCAGATCATGGAACTGTTCCTTTGAAGACAGCCATGAAACCTACAAACCTTGTTCAAAACTTCCCTTCTCTTTTATGTAGGACTTGACCCTGTGCAGGTTGTTTATACTACATTGCCTGGTAGTAAGTCATAAAATCTTCATTCTAGGAGGGGGTTCTGCCCAGTACCATAGAGATGAACCTCCTCCCAGACAGATCAAGAATCTAAACAGACCAGCCTTGCTGGTTCTCCTACTCAGTCTTGTACCAGTAGGCCATAAGCCTCCCTGTTTAGTTGCATCTGCAGTTTGCTGTCCATTTGGGGTAAAATAAAAACTTTAAAAATGGGCAGCTGCTGTTCTTGGGTATTTGGGACTCCATTTCCAAAGTGTCCTGTGTCATTTAAAACTTTGATTAACTAAACCTGTTTTGCTTTTTTTTTTTTGGTGCTGTCTGTTGTCATAGGAGTGTGAACCTTAGCAAAAAGAGGATGAGTCTTAACCCTCTTGCCAGCCTATACATGACATTTATTGCAATGATTCATTTTGCACCAAGTCAAAAGATTGAAATATACTTCTTTGACACACTTTTAGTTTTTAAAAATTTTTTTTTGGAGGCAAGGTTTCTCTGAGAATCTCTGGCTGGCATGGAACTCACTATGTAGATCAGGCTGGCCTTGAACTCAGAGCTCCACATGCCTCTGCCTCTCAAGTGCTGTGATTAAAGTGAGCACCAGAATACCTGGCTGATAAATCTGAATGTCAACATCTAGTTCTACGTAGTTTGTCATCCAATAATGACGACAAGAAGAGCCAAGGCATGATTCTTCCAGAGAATGGAAGAGAAAGAGGAGGTGGTTAAGAATAATGAAATACTGAATATGAAAATCAATGGGGAGTGAGAAGGGGGGCTATGCCACACTGTCTTCTGGGTGTGACAAGGCCACATACACAAGAACTCACTGACAAGGCCACTGTACACAAGACCTCACTGCAGCTGTGGTCAGTGCTAATTTGAAAGGACAACAAAGTAGGATGAGAAAACTTGGGGAATATAGTGGGGGTGTGAGAGGGGAGAGGGTGTTGGAGGAATATATGCATATACATATGTACATACATACATATATACATACATACATGCATACATACATATTCAACATTACTTTGAGAAAGAGAGAGAGAGAGAGAGAGAGAGAGAGAGAGAAAGAGAGAGAGAGAGAAAGAGAGAGAGAGAGCATAGTGGGGTAAGGCAAGAGGTCAAATTTTGCAGTCACAAAACATGTGACTTGGTTTTGAGGCCAATAAAATCTGGGCTAGAAGCTATGGCTTTGGTTCAGTTTGGTTCTGAGCAAAACCAAAGCATCTTAGCATCTCCTTGAATGTTAACTGACTCACTATTTGGATTGGTTTTAATGTCAATTTGGAACCTAGAAATTCTAGTAATCTAGAAAATTCTGGCTGAGGTCAGCACCAATTGTAACAAAACACATCAGGCTCTTCTCCATTTTGACTCTGCACACTTGACACTGTAAGACAGAGATCCTCCATCTTGGGTCCTTGTGCATCATATCAGAAGAACTGAAGACTCCTACCTCCCAGTGGTTCCTATGGTAACACTCTTATCCTCTTCCTCCTCTTCCTCTTCTTTTCCTCTTTTTCTTCTTCTTTTGAGACAGGGTTTCTCTGTATAACTTTGGCTGTCCTAGAACTCACTCTGTAGACCAGGTTGGCCTTGAACTCACAGAGATCTGCCTGCATCTGTCTCCTGAGTGTTGGGATTAAAGGAGTGCACCACCATTGGGCAATATCACCTTTCTTAAGAGCATGGATAACAGGCTGTGTTTATTTTGGCTGCTTTTGTATTCAGTGTTGCTTTTGGAATAACTGTTATCTTCTCAGATCCCAGAGTCTGGAGCAATACTTGGCAGACAATAAGTGTCTGCTGAATGAATAAATCATTGTCTTACCATTCTCCATCAGACATGTGTAGATAGTACTTGGAGGAGCAACCCTGGCTGTACCTTTCTAATTGCCGTCCTGTGCCTGGCACAATAATCATGGCTATAGAAACGCTCAGTAAGGATCTACTGACTACAGATGTGCACTCAAGCTCTCAATCTGGAATGGGCTCTAGGTTTGTCCAGCAGAACTTCTGTTGTGTGTGGGAAGCGGGAGCTGAGCTATCTCTACCCCTGCTTGGGAAAGAAGACGGTGCTGGAGAACAGGCAAAGATGGACTCTGCTCCCTGAATCACTTCAGTTGGATGCTCTTACTGGCCTTATAAACTGAAATGTCTTTTAAAAATTAGCTGAAGGTCTGCTTCTCCTCTAGTTCATTTAAGGCAAAGCTAATGATTCAGACAGAGCCCATTGTTTTGCACGTTGAGGAAGACACTGAGGCCTAGAGAGACAGTATCTTGCTCAGGCCACAGGTAACCAATGGCACAACTGAGTGAGTATAGGATCAGCTGACTCTGTGAGTCCTCATCCCATGCCATCTTCTCTAGCCTCTGCAGAGGATGGTTGACAGTGATTTGAGGAAAATTCAGCTCTTTGTGTTCACTGTGAGGACACCCAAAACTAAGGTGTTCTGAGTCGGCGAGCAAGGTTTGCTTCCAGGTTTGTACTGAACTTGGCACTTCCCTCAGAAATTCTGGAGACAGCTACAGCATTCCAGCAAAACCACTGATGTCAGAAACATCTGTCTTGGACAAGGAAAGGATGCCAGGCAGTAAACACATCACTGCTTCCTTTGCCTTTCATACCCAGGTAGACCTCACAGTTCAGAGAGGAAGATGAAGGCATGGAAAATGTTCACCATCTCAGCCGGAGGAATGGCTTTGGGGGGAAAAAAAAACCTCACCAGGAAGAGATGACTGAGCTGAGCCTTGGAGGCCAACCACTTAGTTTTCACTTCTAAATGTCAACTTAATAAAAATAGCTGCTTTATTGAGCTGGAATTGACTTACAAGAAAATGTTCATCTGGTAACTTTGACATTTCGATATATGCTCGTACATACTACAGCTTGCTAAAGGTGTCTACACTTGCTGCTCTAAATGTATCTGTTTATTATTGCTGTGTATGGGAAAGGGGTCAGAGCCAACTGGGGAGCCGATTCTCTACTTCCACTCTGGGATCCAAGATCAAACATGAGTTGTCTGGTTTTATTGGTCAGTGAACTGAGCTATCTTG